TTCATGTCTGCTTATATCCCAGCCGCTGCTCAGGGAGGTTCCTTTGATTACTTACGGGCGCCAACCAACGAGGAGTTCTGAGAATTAGAGATCCTCAATCAAGACAAAAATAGCATGAGGTGATCTGTATGCTACGCAGGAATACAACACAGTGAAATAAATGGCAGTGATCTTGAATGTTCTGCATAGTCTCTGGCTTTTCATCAGACTCTGAACCAGGAAATGGCAGCAGGCAGAAAGCTCTGGACTCAACCTTGTAGCCAATCAATGACCAGCGGGGCTGACTTTGCATGTTTGGCTCAAGTCAGCATGCTAGGAACCACAACAAAGCAAGTATTGAATTGTTGGGGAAAGCTGGGGGAAAATACAGAACCGTGCTGGTGGAAAAGGCTGTCAAACCGAACCGCACCCATCTGAGTTATGCTGTTGGAAAAGAGCCTTTAGTGGAGCAACCAAGGCATGGTTTCTTTCATGGCTTATTTTTGTTTTAAAGGTGGAAACACTAAAAAGCTATTTTTAATTTTAATTTCTGAATACAATTGGTCACTTTGAGTTTTTCATGCAGGCCGAACATAAAAATAGTCTCCTACACCGATCTCCTGCATTAGCTTCTGACAGAAAATAGGCGGTGCAACTCTAGGATTTGAAAAGCTTGACAGATCTACATCACACTGCCACTTAACATTCCTGAACTGATCCATCTTGATTCGAGATGGGAAGAGCTGTTGTTTTAGCATCCAGGAAACAGCAGAGGATGTCTCAGCTAGTAAAAGCCAACTGTTAGCATTAGCATCTCTACCACATAGCAGATCTCCTTCAGGCTTGTGTTGTTTGTAGAGATAAAAGATCACATCGAGAGGAACCAGTCGAGGTGGCTCGGGCATCTAGTCAGGATGCCTCCTGGACGCCTCCCTGGTTAGGTTTTCCGGGCACGTCCAACTGGGAGGAGGCCTAAAGGTAGACCCAGGATACGGTGGAGGGACTATGTCTCTCACCTGGCCAGGGAACACCTTGGGATTCCCCCAGAAGAGCTGGCCCAAGTGGCTGGGGAGAGGGAAGTCTGGGCCTCTCGACTTAAGCTACTGCCCCCGCGACCTGACTTCGCATAAGCAGATGAAAATGGATGGATGGATGGATGGAAGGATGGAAAAGATGAGCGTTGCAGATCAAACAGAGTCAGAGGTAGAATCGTATTGCTGTCATCCACTGCGAGGAGAGATGTCCAAATATCTGGAAATAAGACTCCAAAACCTGCCGTCTGAAGCTGCTTTCTCCTCCAGCTCACTTCCTGATTCAGGAGCATCTGAGATGTTTTTCCCCAGAGAACAACTTACAAGGCATTCATTCCTACTAGAGACCACTGCAAATGTATTGATTAAACAAGTGTTTAACACCTTTAATTACTCTGCCTACCTGAGCTGGTTGTCACTGACGGTGTTTAGCGTGTGGAGGACCTCGTGGAAGTCTTTTTTCCTAAACCCGATTGGATAGTGTTTCCCTGGCCACATGGTGCGTGTTGCGCGTGGGTGGGGCGCTAATAAAGGCCGCTATTAGTTGTGTACTATCCTTCCTTACGTGATACTTCGTTACGTGATACTTACCAATCCGGTGGAAAGTCGGGGTCCGACAAAAGCTGAAAACTTACTGAGCTGGAAATTACAAACAAGATTTGCAAGCAAGTTTCCAAAATGTCTCAAAATGGCCGCAAAGGTTCTTAATTTCAAGTGAATTTATGTCTTGTTGCTTAAAAGTTGAACATGACCGCTAAAAAAACAAAAAAAACATAGACAAACATTCTCATAATATAGAAATAGATCATCGTAGGCATCTGGAATAGTCTCAAACCTGTCTCAAATTAGTTTTCTTGAGTCAGAAAGTGCAGGAGATAACACACGACCCTGGAAAGGAGTTGCCTGCCAAATTGACAATAAAATGAGGGTACATCATGACTCACTTTTAAATTAAGAACAATTAATAACTAACTGACAGGAAAAATATGCTCAAAAGTTGCACTGTTGTTGCTATTATGTCCCAATTTAAAATGATGAGCTTTTGTAGAACAGATGACACATACATTAAACTTCATGGGTCTATCCGTCTCCCTTACATCAGCCATGACACCTCACAGGATCCAATCACATCCCAACCTGTTACTAAAGTGTTTATTTTTCTGTGTCACATAAACTTAAAAGAAATGCTTACTTTAAAGCAACTTTTTTTCCCCAAATTATTAACACGCCCAATGACAAACCTGCTTGAAAATCCAATCACTGACCCAGCCCATGGAAGCAGATGGAGCTGCTGTTTAAATCCTATTGTAGCCTTGAGCGGTTGCTGAGGCCGCGGCCTGTCCTTGAGCGAGCCCCTCATGATCTTCGACAACCTCAGCAATGACCCAAAGAAACTAAACCTTTTACGACTATTCTGCCTCTGCCGTGCACAAACACAATACACTGTGTAATCCTATTTGATGAGGCAATATCCTAATGATACCCGGTGTGGCCTTTTTGCCCATTAAAAGCCACGTTGTGGATGACTGAGGACAGACCTGACTTTAAAGAAGACAGTCGATTTGTATTTATTTATTGCTGTAAGTGTGTTCTAAAATAACAGCTGTTTGGTGAATGAAGGAAGGATTTAACACTAGTTGTTTAAAAACTTACCTAGAAAGTTGTTTCCAAGGAAATCAAGAGCTTAGAAGCTAGGTTCTGACTCTTTGTAAGCACAAGAGCAGCAGATGAGCACATTAAGATTACAAAATCAGACAGAACAGTGTGTTTAGTGCGGCGTTTAGAGCAGCTAGCCATTGAAGCCCATTAAATCCAAAGGCTGTTTTTCCTGCTGAGTCTCACCAGGCCGTGACAGGGCCGGAGAGGGCTGCGAGGGGAAACAAATAGCCCAACTCATCCTGGCCATAAAGAAGCTTGCACCCCAACCCAATAAGGGTCTGACGCTGATGAATGTGACTAGGGACAGAAAGGCGACCCTGGCTAGTATCCACCAGAAATGAAACCACAGGGATATAAAATATGTTATTATGGTCACACAGTGACAGGCAGATGCACGGCAGGGCAGGGATGGATGGACAGGCGGAGTGACTAAAAAGAAGGAGAAGCAGGAAGAGCAGCAAAAATTAAGGGAATGATTACACCTGCAACGCTGTAGGATAGATAACCACAGGAAGATGTGCATCATCATAATTGTGTGTTTAAAGTTAAAGTGCCATTAGTTGTCACACACACTGATGTGTGTGTGAAATTTGTTCTCCGCATTTGACCCATCGCCTAGGGCAGGGGTCCTCAATTATAATGGTCCGAGGGCCACTCACAAAAAAGACCCAGAAGCAAGAGGGCCGGATTGGGGAGGGGGAGGGGGATGGGGTGCTGCTGCTGCTGTTTGGATCGCCGGCTGTAATGCACATAACACACAAGCTTGCAATATAAAGGAGGACAACACCTGTCTCCCTCCAGCTCGGCTGTGTGACTGCACTAACCTGTCCTGTGTGACCCTCACCGTGTAGCCCTCATGTCCATGCTGTCTCTGGAGGAGCAGATAGGAGACAAGATCTCCTGTAACTTAAAATGAACCAAAGCTTCCTCCCAGCTTCTCTTTAAGCTGAATTTAACATCAATCATCATGAAACAAAAGAATAAAGTGGAACAACAACTTCTATCTTCTGTTTCTCTCTACTTTTAACTTCTCAGTGTCCCTAAATAAGATGATTACGCTGCAGCCGCCGTCGCTGATCCCGCTCCCTCCCCAAGACCGGATCTCCCAACATCACAACACTCGGTCTGACTGAGCGCTTCCAGGAGAAACAATAATGAAATTATGAAAATAATAACACGTGTTTGGAGGAGCGTCCTCCGATCCTCTCTCTTGTGTGAGAGCACACAATCTCTCTCTCTCTCTCAGTCGCTGATCGAGCGAGTGGAGCGCGCCACGTGACAACCCGCTCAATTAACATAATCCATGGCCAAAATCCAACAGAACCGATTGGGCTGATTTGGTTCAGGTTTGGTCTCAGGTTATAACTCCAGCGCTCAGCCCTGCAGTACCACATAAAGGCAGAACAAAGTTTCCAACCCGGTAAATGTGGAGAACACCGCTCTGACAGGATGTGGATGCTACGCTGGTGCAACCGTTAAAATAACAAAACCACATTCCACTATAACTGATTATGGCTCCTCTTCTATGATGCAGAATCGTTTATGCCCGCATCTCATGCATTGATTATTTTCCTCAGCTCTATCTATCCTACACATCCCGGTCGGCCGTCGGGGGTGGGGGTGGGGGGTGCGCGCGGGGTTTGGGGGCCACAAATAGAGGGCTTGCGGGCCGGATGTGGCCCGCGGGCCGCCATTTGAGGACCACTGCCCTGGGGGAGCAGTGAGCTGCAGACACAGCCACGCTCGGGAACCATTTGGTGGTTTAACCCCCAAATCCAACCCCTTAATGCTGAGTGTCAAGCAGGGAGGCATTGGGTCCCATTTTTTCTAAGTCTTTGGTATGACCCGACCAGGAATCAAACCCTGATCTCCCGGTCTCAGGGCGGACACTCAACCACTAGGCCACTGAGCTGGCTAAACGGAGATAAAATGAACTGGTTTTGTTGACAAGATGCACATTTCTAATGGCCCCACAAAAACACAGAGAGGAGCTGCAGGCCTCCATTTAAACACAGCCAATTGATAAATCTCTAATGCCAACGAAGAAACAAGCACTGTGTGCACAAGAATGGCACTATTCACATGCCCACCTGAGAGTTTTCAGTTGTTTTATACATTTTAAATAGCACAGCTAGTTTATGTGAACATCTAGGCAACTACCAGTGTTATCTGAGGTTCTGACAATGCAGAAGATAACATCTACAGATAAAATAATGCATGGACAACAAAGTTTGTGTTCGTGGTGGCATTACAGTTAAATTAAGATCAAGTATTACATTTGTCATAATCTGTATTAGAAGTGGTTTATTCCATTTGAGTCTGTGAGCTCACCGGTAGCGGTATGGGTGGAGTGACTGGGGAGGGAAGGCTGCGGGCTGGCGACTGGTTCTGCCGGTGCGGCGGGGACTGATGAGGCTGACCGGAGGTGGAGGAGCAGGCGGAGCCTGGAGATGGCACAGAGGTCTGCTGCTGGCTGGGTGGGGTCATGTGATGCTGGGCCTGCAGCTGGTTCTGGACGTGGGTCTGTTGGTGATGGTGTTGCTGCTGCAGCTGCTGGAGCTGCTGCAGGTGCTGGAGCTGGGAGTTCAGGGATGAGGTAGCTGTCGGTGAGAGGGCAGATCTTAACTGTCACACATCCAGAATAACAAATACAAATGAGATTTCAGGGACAGTCTGACAACAAGTGTTTTAGCACATAAAAACCCTCATTATTACAGGAATATTCCAACACCTTACATGCACACATGTGGGTGGTTGTAAGAGACACATGTAAATTGCATGGAGTCACAACAAGGTCCTCTAGGGTTTTAGCCTGCTTGATAGAGTCGGTGAATTTAATTTAGCAAGTTGGAGGACAAACCCACCCTGACTGATGTAACGGCTCTCTCTGGAGCCAAAAGCCTCATTGTTACTCTGAGAACGGGGCATATTCGCTTTAATGGCTTCAAATCTCATAAGAAAAAGACATCCGTCTTCTCAGGGAGAGATCAGAAATAAACCCATTAACTAATTGGCTCCAATAATGGCGTGCCATTTGAAGCTCATTTCTACATTTAAATGCTTTTAAAGAAAAAACGGTTAACACTCAGCAGATACATCAGGCGAGATTATGCCTCCAAAAATCAAGAATGTAAATGCAAAAGAAAAGTAAGAAAACATTTTATGCTGTAAACACTTTGGTTGTGTTCCTCGACCTCAAGGTCATTTTTGTGTCAGTTAATCAAAGATGTCTGAATGCACCAAAAAATGGTGATTTTTCAACGAACCAAAACTAAGTTTTGTGTTTAAACATCAGAAAATGCTTTAAGAAAAACAAATTCTATCCATAAGGGGAGAAACTGAACAAAAATGATATCTAAGACCTTCAAGCTGGCTCTCAAAGGGAACAGTGTCTCTATAACTTAAACTGTCAGAAAATATATATTTTTATTTCACTTCAACTTCATAAGTTTTTTTGTTTCAGTTGAACTAAAAAGGAATTTAGTGAATTTTATAAAAATGACTTTTTTATAATAAAAAGTTTTTCTTTTTATCCTGATTTTTAAATATTAAACAGCTTTATGTACAATAATTTATTAAACTGTTAATCATGTTGAACTTTTTAAGAACTTAACTGTGCTACTTTACTGTCTTATAGATTTATGAAAATTTGCTTGAATCCTTTGAAGTATTTCTCATTAAAATATGCCGAAAAATAGGAAAAACATCAAACGTACTCAAAACCTCTAGAGAAACATTATGTTTTTAATAAAATAGGAGAAAACAATGTTTTAATAGATAACTTAAGGATCATATAAAACTAATCTGTATTTAATGTGTGAACCACAGAAAATTATGTTATAAACTGTGGAAAGCTGGTGTGCCCAAGTACATAGTTAGATGTTTGTCATATTGGTATACAAACCAGACCATACGGGTCAAGTGTGCCAACTGTGTATCTGCACCTTTTCAGGTCTTTAACAGAGTAGGACAAGAGAGCATTTTACCACTGGTGTTGTTTATTTTTACATGAATGATCTGTTTAAACAGTTAATTCAGTGTAGAACTGGCTGTATGGCAGGAGGTACAGTAATAAATCATCTGATGTATGCTGATGACATAGTGGTATTTAGCCCAAGTTCAGCTGGTCTTCGGGAGCTTCTTAATGTGTGCTCTGAGTTTGGTGAACAGCATGGTGTTAAATTTAATCCTGCAAAAAGTATAATCATGATCTGTCGAACTGAAGAGGACAAAAGGATCAGATTTCCTGACTTCAAGCTATCTGGCTCTATTTTAAGTGTTTCAAATGAAGTGAAATATCTGGGTCATGTGTTGACAGACAACCCATCAGAAGATCAGGACATTTATCGTCAGTGCTGAATGTTATATGCACAAGCTAATGTACTGGGTCGTAAATTTGGATATTGTTCTGTTAACGTCAAACTTAACTTGTTTAGAGCTTCCTGTACCTCATTGTACACAGCACATTTATGGTGGAATTATAAAACAGCCAGTATCCAGAGACTGCAGGTGGCTTACAACGATGAATAAAGACTTCTGGTAAAAAAGCCCAGATGGACTAGTGCTAGTGAATAGTTTGTTTCTGTCAGGGTCAGCACATTGAAAGCTGTTTTAATAAATTTTATGTATAAATCTATATGCCGTCTTAATATGTCCAAGAACATTGACCGCTACTGGAGATCCGTCCTGCCAACATCCTTTGTAATATACAACAACTCTTTGATGACTTGATTATTATTATTATTCTGAGCTACTACAGCGATCAATTTCCTTCTGGGATTAATAAAGTATTTTTTAATTGAATTGAATTGAACAGTGTCATCCTAACTCTGACTAATACCAGACATAATGCTGTAGGCTACACCTCTAAACTATGGATGCACTGGTATGATTGCCTCTTGTAGGATACTGTTCTTTTAACGAGCTTGTTGTTTTCGTTTTAATGTCACCTTTGTATATTTTTCTATGTATTTTTTGGACCGTGAGTATGTAATAAAGGCTACTGCTACTTAATGCAAATTAAAAACTTTTACCGTTAGATAAATGGACTGAATAAACACGATATATGGTCACAACTGGGCCACAAACTCACAGTTTACTGTTAAAATAAAGACTAAAGAGCAAACGTTGGTCATGAAGAGTGTGTGTGAACATTTATTGATAAATTCACCCTGTAACTGTGCAAAGACAAGCGTGCATACATACAGAATCAATGCACTTTAATAATTTAGGTTATCTTGTCTCATGAATGATGAATAAAACATCAGAGCAGACAAGTCTTTGATTAGTGGGGTCACTTCAACTGCACGACAGGCATGGATGAACATTTGATGAAGATCAGATCACCCTCTTCTTTTCCTCACTCTGCAGAAGCTCAGCCAAAGGAAGCCGGCATATCTTGGCCAGTAAACAGCGCACTTTTATATTTCGTCTAGCTCCTGACACATTGACACCTCTCCCACACCCCCGCCATGAATTATATATTAACTGTGCAAATGGCAAGAGTCCAATTCTCACTTGAAATGTTGGGGCAAGCTGTCTTGCTCCGCGCCGAGCCCGACAGGACCGGCTCTTTTCCGCCGCAACTTCACAACGACAAAATGTTGAACCGCATTTAAAGATGGAATAAAAAAAATGGAAACAAAGACGGAGAAAACAAAAGGGGGTAAAATGAGATTTCTGTCAGAAAATTATTGAAACCAGACGAAGATCAAAGACGGCTGAAGTATTTCCTCCGGCACCAACCATTACGCCGAGGAACAACAGGAACAACAAAAGAATATGAGGCAAAAGAAAACAAATACAGAGGGAATATGGAGGAAGCCCCATGTGGCCTTATTATAAGGGCTCCACTGCAGGTAACTATATTCTTTAACAGCAGTGCTTTATAAATTCTGTCATCTTGTTAAGACTGTCAGGACCACTGACCCGCCATTCCCTTCTAACTGGGCAACCGGCATTCTGAAGCTCATTCTTTTAACCACAGTTGTCTGATTGCTCTGGTTGAGCACATAATCCAAACAGCTTGTCTCAGCTAATTGTTTGTGCTCCTTCCTCCAGCAGACACAGGGCTGTGGATGAGAGTGGGAGCTACACTTATGATGGAGAGCAGGGCAAGAGGGTGCTGTGTTCCTATAGTGCTCATTATATCTCCCACCGCCTCTTTTATAGTCGCTGGTACTTGTCTACTGCAACGTGAGCGGTGCTCCCACTTAGTCATCTCGCCTGAAGGGTGAGGGAATATCTTTCACTGTTGTCACAACTTGTCATATTTAATGTTTATAATGAGGGACGAGTGCGATCGTGCTGCTAAACAACCTGAACGGTGACGTTTTTCTCCTTCATTTGAATGTTTAACAAGAATCATTGGAGACATAAAAACAACAGAGTAGAGAAGTTTAAGGCATCCAAACTGTGCTTTGAGAAATTGGCCATCGCTCCTTTGGAGCTTTTTTTTTATTTCCCTGTAGTACCACAAAAGAAATCAACTGTTATCTGTGACTGTCCTGGCCCCAGGTTCTGAAATACAGCAGAACAAGAAAAGACTGATTGTCAGAGGTCGAAATGCTAGGTCAAAGCTAGCTCGTTCGTCAGACAAAATGCTATTTTTGTTTCTTGTGTAGCTGAGCTGTAAAGTGGGATGGGGGGCCTCCCATTACCAGTGCTATCTCGGTATCCCGGCCCACTTTCCCAGTGCAGCACTTTTCTCTCTGGGGTTCATTCACACTTGGCTTTTTGTTTTCCTTACAAAGCACAACACCTGTGTTGAGTTACACTTTGTTGGTGCGGGCTGGTGCATGGATGCAGTCCAAACTGTCAAGTATGTTTTTTTTTTCCATTTATGCAAAATTATACAATGTTAATGAATAAATCACAAATTGAAGTTAACTCTGATGAGAGCGAGTCATGGCCTCTTCCTGTGACTAACTCAAGATAACAGGAAATGCCAGGGCCTTCCCTCTCTTTGACTTCTGCGGTCTTCTGACAGGATTACCAGCATGCACACTGAACTGCAGAGCTGCACGTCTGGTGTTTCAGGTCATTTCATAACTCACTGACCTCAGCTGGCTACAAGAATGAAATTGAAGGCATTAAAAACTGCCTAAAGAGTGAACACAGGGTCTCAGCTCACAGTTTTCTTTTGAGGATTTTACACATAAAATGAGGCACAACCATTAACTGTTTATAATGGGTGAACCCTCCGAACCGTCACCTGTAGGCTTCTGAAGAGCTGCATTAAAGCCCTATGCGCGGTTCCCACCATCGTCGTCCTGCCCACATCACATGTCTCGTCATTCCCAGAAAATACAGGTGGGGCAGATAATTGAAACCCATCAAACTCTGAGCTGATGTGGCTACAAGCTAACTGAGCTAACCAAAGCTAACAGAGGCCAAAAGGGGGCTTTTAGCCAGAAAACCACAGTTGAGTGGATCTACTACCAGACAAGTAAACAAGTAAAAATATTACACACTGTGCCTTTAAAGACTTGAAAGGAAGCTTTAGATCAACACTAAGAAAACCCAAGTCCAAAAGGACATGCTGTTTTACACCAAAAGTCCCAGCTGAGATTCAAATCAGTTCGCCTGTTGAGCAGCTGCG